GGCCAGGGTTCATGTCCCCAAACCTGCCCCAGGACGTTGAGACGGTGACAAGTGACAGCCCAGGGCACCCGGTCGAGACTGAGGTGACCAGTGAGTGCCCCCCCACCGAATGCCTGGGTCCCTCCCCCTGGACACGTAGGCCCTTCCCATGGTCTGGGAGGGGCTGAAGGTTTGGAGGGGGGGCAGGTTTGGAGCCCCGGATGCCTGGGCAACTCTTGGTGCCCCACAGCTGAGCAGGAAGGCCGCGATGGGGGGTGGGGGGGAGGGGAATGAGGGCCCAGGCGTCCGGGCCCCTCCCCCTTCGCTCCATACCCAGTGCTCAGTAAACCCTGTGATACTCCCCGCCCCCCTCTCCCGGTCTGTCTATAGTGTCTGTCCCTGCAGGGCCCCCCACCCCCACCCCGGACCTGCCGGTCGGGCCCCACCCTTGCCCTGAGGGACCCAAGCGGTCGGGCGCCCACATTGAGTTGTTGGGGAGGGAAAGGGGCCCAGGCATCCGGGCCAGCCGGCCCCAACCACAAGAGGCTCCTGGGGCCCAGGCGTCTGGGCCCCGCCCCCGCACTGGGGAGCCCCATAAGAGTCCCGGGGGCTCCCAGGGCTCCCAGTGCAGCCAGTGGAGCCACCAGGTAGGGGCTGTCCGGACGCCTGGGCCCCTTCCCAGACACCTGGGCCCCTTCCCAGWCACCTGGGTGCCTCCCACCTCCCTCCCGGATGCCTGGGMCCCTCCCGGACACCTGGGCCCTTCTCACTCCCCTTCCCGGACACTTGGACCCCTCCCGGATGCCTAGGCTCCTTCCTGAATACCTGGGCCCCTCCCCCCTCTCCCAGACACCTGGGCCCCCTCTCACCCCCCTCCCGGACACCTGGGCCCCTCTGTTTTGGGTGGGGGCCACAGGGGGAAGCTTCAGGGCATGAAGCGGGGGGGAGGGGGGCGGACTCCTAGGCCCTCCATATCAAAGTCACATGGCAGGGGGGCCCGGATGCCTGGGCCCCTCCTGACCCCTCCTCCTTCGTCCATTTGCAGCATGTCCGACCCAGCCTCTCCCCCTGACGGGGACCCTTCCTTGCCCCAGCCCCCCTGGCCCCACCTCCCGGTGGCCCCATGGCCCCCCCTGCCCCGTGGGGGCGGGGGCAGCGA